ACTAAATAATCTTCGCCCTTATTTAGAATATCCTTTATACTATATATAAAATTCACTTCTTCTTCTACTTTATCTTTACTCTTACTAATAATAATATAATTAGATTCTTTAAACTCCTTAACTTTTTTTTTTAAATCTGGGGTATCCTTATATAAATAATAATAATTTTAGAAATAGGAATTTCCTTCACTATTAATCTTTCACTAACGAAAGTACTCCTAGCAACGGCCCCTACGCCCGCTATTTCTATAACAATGATTATTTTACTTATAATTATCTTCCTCCTTATTCTACTTATTCTACCAATACTATTCATTTAAACCTTAATTCTAATATCTTCTATTATAACTCTAAAAAGAATAACAATTATACAATAAATCCTTATAATAAGAATTAAATCCTCCTTAATACACATTTTCTTTATTATAATCCTTAGCAATTTCTTTATCCCTATATTCGAAATATGTAGATAGTTTAATATACTGCCCTCTAAGCGCCTCCTACTAGATTTGTACCTTTTTATTTACTAAGCGTAAATACCGCTCCTTAATATTATCTACTATTAATTTATTTATTAAACCCTTTAAATTAGAATATAAATTAATATAAAGATAGTATAATTATTAATAATTTATAGTATCGCCCTACCGCCGAATATAATAAAATAATTAACTAGCGAAAATACAGATAGACTTTTTATAAATATTACGTACTTTAATAAATTAATTCTTTTATAACTATACTACAACTTTACTTAAATTAATTCCGAAGCATTTATTTATTAATTGAAATGGAATATCGAACAATTCTATATAGGCTTCGCAGTCCTCTATAAATAATTCCGAAGTCTATTAAACTATAATTTCGCCCTTTAAAAAATTTAGGAAATAAGAGAATACTTTCCAAAAACGATTTAAACCGCCCTTTATACCCGCCCAATAATTAGCTTCCTAATTAAAAAAATCCCAGTAATATAAGACCTTTCTTAAATAAAATATTATATATCCTTAATATTTATTATAAGGAGTATTAGGCTAAAATATACTAATTTTCTATACTTTCTAATTATTATTTCCTATTCGGATATTATTAAAAGGATTAGTACTATAATAATTTAGAGCAATAAATAGTAGGCCTAGGGGATTATTAGGAAGGCCTTTATCCGGGAAGGCTAGACTTTAGAAAGGAAATATCGGAGGCCGTCCTCCGCCGTAGGGATTTCCCAAACTATTAAAATTATTAGGATTTTTAGGAATATTAATAGTACTCCACTAAAGTAGTTTCCTATTACCGCCGCTATTTCCTCCTCTAAATCCGGGTAAGGGGACTAATAAATTAATAAGGAAATTAGTCGGGTAATTAAGAGTATTTAAATACTTATAGAAACCTATTCTCTATTTTAAATAAAAGTATAATAGATAATTAAAAAGTAAATATATAATCCCGTAGGGATAGGGGTACCTAAATTGACCAGCGAAATCGCTAGGTTATTAAAAATTAGGGAAGAAACCGTTAAGAGGGAAATCCGGGGGAATCTATAGTAATAATATACTTTAATCTACTTTTAAGTATATAAAATTACCGTAAATAATAGATACAGCGGAAATATTAGCAGGAATATCTTTATAACGTCCAACCTTAATATTAATATTTTTAATATTTATTCTAATTAAATAAGTAATAAATCCGCTAGCCCTATATTCGGCTTTAAACGTAACTAAATCCGTCGATAGACTAGCTAGGATTTCTCTTTTAATATTTATTTTATTAAATATATTAAGTAGTTTACTAGGAATAGTAGAATTACTAAATAAATAATCTTTTATTATAATATTAGAATTACTTTTTTTAATATTAAGTATAGAAATATTAGATTTAATATTAACTTATACTTTAATTTCCTATAGTATTACTTTAATAGTAGAATAATAATATTTACTATTAAAAAATCTAGGAATATATATTTCAAATATTCTAATTATAATAAAAGATAGTAATATTTAGTATTTTATTTAAATATATAGTAAAAGTAAGGAAGTAACTAAACTAGCTTGGGATCTAATTTTCTAAGTAATTTAATAATCCTCCTCTATATTCCTAATATAGGATCGGACCCTTAATATAAACTACGCTATTAACCTACGAACCGGGCGCGCAATTTTTATTATAATATTAATAAGGGACTAAAATACTAGGACTAACACTAACTTCTTTTATACGGTTATAATTAGCGATACCCAAAATATTATTAGTAACATTTAACGTAATACCAGATCCGTCTCTTTTTTAGAATTAGGTCCCTTGAAGAAAGCCCTTCGGGTAACCCTTATTATATTTAACCGACCTTAAATACATATTAAATCCTCCGGATACCTTCTAATAGATTTATTAAATTATATAAAATTAATTCGTATCTACTTAATATCAGTAAAGTAAATTAAATTATTAAAAGGTAAAAAGCTCGCTCCCATCTAAATTTATACCTCCTTCCCTTTACCTTTAATATTTTAAATATAATACTACACTATAATATTAAAAGTAGCCTCTATAGTAAACTATTCGTTTATTTAAATTGGGTAGGACAATTTAGTATAATATAAAGTTAAAACTATTTCCTTCACGCTCATCCTAATCTCTTTATTTTTTATTTTTTATATAGTAAAAATTTTATTAATTTATATATTAGTAATGAATTTATTATATTTTATAATAATAGAGTAAAAATATTTTTTAAATATTTTATAATCGGTTATCTAGTAGGGAAAGTAAATAGAGGTATCGCTATTATTAAAAGGATTATTTTTAGTAATATATTTAATATTATTATTAGGTCGATATTGAATTTTTTTGTAGTAATCGAGGGTTCTAATATTGTTATTATTAGTATTTACCTATATAGGGTAGTTAGAATGCCGTTCGTACAATTTATAAAGATTGTCGGCCCTCTTAGTATCGGCTTCTATTTAAATAAACGCTATCTTCAATTATTATTACAGGATGCGATTCTAGGGGAATAAAGAAATATTATATAAGTAAGGGATAATTTATAGGTAATAATAAAGAGGTAAAAGATTAGTTCGATTTTAAAACTATAGAAACTATTTACTATAGTATTATGGGGAGTTGAGACTGTAGTTATTATTCTACTAAATAATAAATTCGTTATTAATAGATTTATTTTGAGAGAAGAATTTAGTAAGTAATAGATTCGTTAAAGGGATTAATACGTAGTAGATTTGTTATTAAGTGATGGATTCGTTTTAAGGAATTACGGTTAATTGTAACCTAAATTTCGTATTAATAAATAGTATTACTAAATAAGAACTTTTAATTATAGATAATAATTAATTGAAGAGGAAAATCCGTTAATATAATAGATCCTCCTATAATTATCTATACCTATTCTATACTGTATCGGGTTGCGCCGAGCCGAATCCGGCTCGGCACAGCCCAGTGTGCATAGACCTAGGGGAGGCGGATTCGTCGCTTAACAATAGGGTAAATTAAATACTTCTTTTATCTTTTTTCTTTCCCCACTACCCCCTATATTACGCCTCTAAATTGTAAGATATATATAAATCCTAAATTAAATACTAATATTATATTATCCTACTACCCGCGGGTAAATAAGTAAATCCGAATTGAAGTAAGCAGATTAGCGCTATGCTATACGTATATAGGGTTACCCTTTTTAACTTTTTACCTTTTTTTTTTCTTATTTTCTACCCTTATATTACGCTTTTAAACTATAAGATGCATATAAATCCCAAATTAAATACTAACACTATATTTCCTACTACCCGCGGGCAAATAAGTAATTTAAATTAAAGCAGGCGGATTAGCACTATACTATATATATATAGAATAAAAAAAGGAAAAAGAAAAAAGGTAAAAGTTAAGATTTTTATTATTTCTCTTTTCCGAATTCTATTTTTTTTTTTAGGCCTATCCTTATTTTCCTTAAATTTATATTTATTTTCCCTAAGCCCTATTTTCCTTAAATATATTTTTATTTTCCTTAAATCTATTTTTATTTTCCTTAGGCCTTAATATTTATTCTTTTTCTTAATACTATTTTATATAAATAAAATTAATATATACTACCTAGGGGTTACAATCGAATTTAACGAAACGGTTTATAATAATAAAAAGTTAATAGTTAAATAGATTAATGAAGAATTAAATATAGTTATAGGGGGGGCTAACGATAAGGGACTTTTAGTTATAAATATAGCCGGCTTCTATAAAACGAAGGAAGTCTTTAATACGTTCAATAAATATAGTATTAACCGAGCTCTAATTTTTAACGGTTTTACCCCGTTGCTTTAATCCTTCGATATTTATATTAATAAATCTATTAAATTATATTTCTTCGAAGTATATAACAAATATATTGAATAGCGATAGGTTATTAACAGTAAGTTCGATAAATAAAATCCCTCTAAAAAAAGGATTATATTTATATTTATTATTAACTAGGCTATTAAACTCCTTACTAAAAATAATTCTAGTTTAGTAGCTAAGTTATTTGTAGATTATAGTATTTCCGTATACCCTAACGGTATAGAGAACTACAAAATTCGAATTAAAGGTATTAATTGGAGGGATATTGATTTTTTAATATTTTAGACTGCCGATAATATTAAAATTATTAATAATTATATCGAATTTAATTTACTAAATAGAGAAACTACTATTAACGAATTAGGTATAGTATATGATAATTATACTATATCCTAATTAAGAGCTTTTTATAGGGTACGATGGATTTTCGGATTTAGTAGGCTAAAAAAAATTAAAATAATTACTAAATTTAAAATAATTAACAAGGAGGCTCTTATTATAACCGATTTAGGGGTGGATAATAAAATTCTTAATATTAAAGAAAAGGAGGGAAGTTTAACGGCGCCGATTTTAATCGATTAATATTATTACTAGTATTATTCCTTATTATTTTTAATTATAATTAATTCTTCTACTTATATAAATACTCTACCTTCTTACTATTCTTTTTTAATACTACCTTACTTACTATACTAGTATCTCCTTTATAATTTTATATAGTATTTTATTAAATAATTCTTATTTAATACCTATTCTTTAATAACCCCCCTCTACTACTCTCGAACCTACCTAAAATAATAGTTACTATTATTCAGGAATATACTAGATACGTATATAAATCTAGGAGAAGAAGGTTGCCGGTAAATAATATTATATTCATTATTCACAGTAAAAACCCTAGAATTCTTAAAGTCCTTCATTACAACTATAAAGAAAGAAATTAAATCTAGTTAGTTAGGTAAATTATATAGTTAGTTACGTATAGACGACTTTAATAGTTCCAATATTAATTCGAAGTATAATTTGAAGGAGAATACTTAAAAATATCGTAGTTTTATAGCTAGTATTAATAGCTAGTGTTATTAATAATAGATAAAAAGAAGGATAAAAAGACAAAATGAACAGGAATTAAGGGTATAGCTATTACTAGAACCCCCTCTTTTACCAAGCAGCTGGCCCCCTTGTATAGTTATATTAACGTATCCAATTTGGGCGCCCAGAGGTTATAGCGGGCTTGTAGGTGGCTTGCAGCTGGGCGCCAGCCTTACTGTATAAAGTCTAGCCCCCCCTTAAGGGTATCCAAATCGATTGAGATTTAGCGGTAATCAGACAGCGCCGGCGGATATGAGAGCGATGATTGATGATGATCAGTTGAGCTTCGCGGCAGTCTACTTTGTACATCCCCTGACAAACTATACAGGACGACACTGTTTGACACATTGAGGTCATTAGGATATTTATGGTCACGAGGCCGCCACCCTCTTCATCCCATCTTACGAATCGTGTAGAATAGGGGACCAATACCAGCTGAGATGATGACAGCCAACCTCAGCCCCTGACATGAACGGCGGGCGCCTTTGCGGGGTAGCTCACTGCAAGTTGGCTGCAGCAGCCTATCGTATAGATGCTAGCGCTGTACACTTACCTTTCAAGCAAGGCACCCATAATTGAGCGAGTATCTCTGGCCCGAGAGGTACCGTACTATCAGTAAAGCTATCAGACCCCTTCAGAGCTGCATGGTCGATCCAGCCACATACAGCGTAGGTCTTGGTCGTCCACCTTCCATTTTACGACGCACCCTCGAGTATACATATATGATATGACAGGTAAGAGTGGCACGACTACAGAGTGTCTTGGACTTGGTGGATATAGAGCATGAAGAGAAGAGCCCACGTGGTGTGAAAAGTATGTGTGTAATCCGGACATTCTTGGGTTTTGTTGTGAGCGTGTCCAGATTGTTTTTCAAACTGCATGACACCCTCCTACTCCTGAGAGACGACGTCTGTCGATGGAGATTTTGGCCCATTGTGAAATGAGCATTTGATTCTTCTGTCCACTTAAACGGTGGCACGTTTCCGCACTAATCCAGAATTCCGTTCAGATGGAGCACTTCGGGGACCGACGTCCCCTTGCCAGCGAGGAGGGCCCTGTCATGTTGACAGCCACATCTCCACAGCTCGTAGCTTCGGTCTAGTGTTATCGCGAGCACGCTACCGTTTAGAGAGCTTCAAGCTTCACCCCCCACTCGTTCTTGGCCGTTGCTGTTCCATTGCCAGCGTCTCATCGAAATCTCTTTGGCCGATCAAATTATGATTCGTTCTGGCGTCGAGAGGGGTCAACCCAATTGTGAGGTTGTAGCAGCAACAATTCCTTTATCAGTTACCTTGGTCTACCTAAAAGTTGCAGCGATAAGACCCCATAAGGCGTACCGACTTTGTCGCTGCCTTTTCATGCTGTGGGGAGGCCCCAAAATGGACAATTTCATGGGCCAAAAGATCGACGAAAGGCCCCACCCAAAACTACTAGTCATCATCATCATCTTCATCCTTTCGTCCTAACGGTCCTCCGGTCTTTCGTCGTGTCAATAGTGTGCCCGTAGAGATAAGGGGGGGGCTTTCCGACCCATCCATCCCCCACTCTTCGCCGCCACCACGGGTACAACCGTTGAATCCGCCGTTGTCCCTCGTCTATCCGTCTCACCTCTTCCCGGTCCAACCCTGCTTCCTTGTCCACGCTGCTGTTGGTGTTGTTCTTAACCAGCTCAGCTCGTCTTCTTCTCACCCCAAGCATCACCGGCACACCACACACAACACCACAGTCAAGATGGCCGCATCCAAAGTAGAAATCGCCCCCTTCGAGGTCACTCCCCTCGACGCCATTCCCGCCGTCTGCAGCACCGCCCGTGCCACCTTCGCCTCCCACAAGACCAAGAACCTGCAATGGCGTCTCGTCCAGCTGCGCAAGCTCTACTGGGCTCTCGACGACTTCAAGGCCTCGCTCATGGCCGCGCTGCAGCAGGACCTGCGCAAGGGCGGATATGAGTCGGACTTCACCGAGGTCGACTGGGTCAAGAACGACTGCCTGCACATGATCAACAACCTCGAGACTTTTGCCAAGACGGAGAAGCTCAAGGATCTGCCCGTCACCTACTCGATGATGAACTTCCGCGTCAAAAAGGAGCCTTTGGGAACCGTCCTCATCATCGGCCCTTACAACTTCCCCATCCAGCTGGTGCTGGCTCCGCTCGTGGGCGCCATTGGCGCCGGCTGCACGGCCGTCATCAAGCCCTCCGAGCTGACCCCCGCGTGCGCCATGGCCATGAAGGAAATGATTGAGAGCCGGCTGGACCGCGACGCCTTCGCCGTCGTCAACGGCGGTGTCCCCGAGACCAACGCCCTCATGGAGGAGAAGTGGGACAAGATCATGTTCACCGGCAGTGCCCAGGTCGGCTCCATCATTGCCCGCAAGGCCGCCGAGACGCTGACGCCCGTGTGCCTCGAGCTGGGCGGCAGGAACCCGGCCTTTGTGACCAAGAAGGCCAACCTGGCGCTCGCGGCCCGCCGCCTGATGTGGGGCAAGGTCCTGAACGCCGGACAGGTGTGCATGAGCCATAACTACGTGCTCGTTGACAAGGATGTGGCCGACACTTTCATCGAGTTTCTCAAGATTGCGTACAAGGACATGTTCCCCAACGGAGCAAAGGCCAGCCCGGATCTGTCGCGTATTGTCAACGCGAGGCACTTCAACAGAATCAAGAAGATGTTGGACGAGACCAAGGGCAAGATTGTCATGGGCGGCGAGATGGACGAGAGCGACCTTTACATCGAGCCGACGGCGGTATTGGTGGATAGTCTCGATGATCCGATGATGCAGGAAGAGAGCTTCGGTCCCATCTTTAGCATTTTCCCTGTGGACACCCTCGACCAGGCGCTCAGCATTGCCAATAACGTGCACCGGACGCCGTTGGCGCTGATGGCATTTGGTGACAAGTCGGAGACTAACAGGAGTATGTTTTTTTCCCCTCCCCCTTCTATGTCAATAAAGTCGGTTATACTAACAAGCTACCCCAACCACTCACAGTCCTCGACGAAATGACCTCTGGCGGCGCCTGCATCAACGACTCCTACTTCCACGGCGCTGTGCACACGGTCCCCTTCGGTGGCGTCGGCGACTCCGGCTGGGGCGCTTATCGCGGCAAAGCCAGCTTCGACAACTTTACGCACTTCCGCACCGTGTCCGAGACCCCAACCTGGATGGACCGGTTCCTGCGCGTGCGCTACATGCCGTACGACTGGAGCGAGCTCAGGCTCCTGCAGCGCTGGACCAACAAGAAGCCCAACTTTGACCGCCAGGGGACCGTCGCTAAGGGGTCCGAATACTGGATGTGGTACTTCTTGGGCTTGGGTACCAAAGGCGGTGTTAAAGGTGCGTTGATGAGATGGCTGGTCGTGGTCGCTGGCTATTATCTATCTGCTTATATGAAGGCGAGGAGGGCTTGAGTTGTTTGTGTGTTTGTCACTTGCACATTACCGCGGCAACTCACTCCATCTGTTTTCAAGCGTTATGATGATGATTTCTTATGGTTTATGTATCTAATTTGCTTCATGGTTAGTTAACGAGGCGACGACTTCTTAATTTCCTGTTTCGGTCGGGAGTTCAACAACAACAGTGACATTGTCGATTTAAGTACGAAAAATACCATATAATCAGGAGGTGTCAATAATGGGTGGAAGAAGGTAATGTCGAAGAAGTAATGGCACGATTTGGATACATTCAAAGAGTTGATATGTACGGTGTATCACTCCTTGGGCTCGCACATGTAGGAACAGCGGCTTATATACCCATTTTTTCTTAAGCGACCAGTTTATGTCTTGACGATCTACGTCATGAAACCATAATTATCAATTTTCTAAATAAGAGCAGCTTTCAACTTGTTGTTTTTGGCTAAACCGAATCACTTTAAGCTATTCCTCGTCCAAGCCACGCCGTGAAAACAATTCTGCTCCCGATCGCTCCCCTGCGACGTGAAGGTACCCGAGCCTCGCTCCTAAACGCTTACAGCAGTGGGACGCCTCTTAGATTTTGATGTCCTGACAGAGCATCAAAGGTAGAAAGAGCTGGTGTTAGAATTATACATTACAAGTCCGACAAATGTAAGCTACGTGAGCACGATTCAACTTTGTTTACACCCCAGCTTCTAGATCGATGTCAAATAGATCAACTCATGGTTTATGTTTAACCGGGAGGAAAGTGGTCAGTTCATCATCAAGATTATCGGCATACCTATACAACCCCGGAACATTTCCCGAAGAGTAACCCGGACATTCATTCTCCGGGTTTTCACCCGTCAACCGTATGGGACCCCTCCATGCATTACCGAAAGCGGAAGTTGAAAACCACATGTACTTCTATGTTCAAGACATCATCATCAGATGCTTCATATATACTCTCACAGAAGAACAGAAAAAAAAGACAATCCTCGACCAAACCTCCGTCAAACCTTTTACTCTAGCTTCATCTCATCTCCCCGTTCGACATCTATCCATAACAAAACTATCTGGTACCTCACCCTTGAATCTCGAGCTCAAGAACTCTCAATGTCCACCTTACGCCGTGCTGCTCCTCCTTCTATACCCAGGACCAAAAGCAACACCAACAGTCGAATGGCCAGCCAATATACTCCTCCCTCTCACTCCTCCCAAGCTTACAAACACAGCCGTCTAAGCCAAAGCCACAGCCCAAATAATGAAGACCAACAAAGTCCTATATCAAGCCCTAACGAAAGCCATGCCTACAGCCACCTCCAACACCATTCCCGCTTCTCCATACCCATCATACCCTCTTCCCTCCTCTCAACCAAATCCCTAAACCTTCGAGACAACCTTCGAGATATGCGCAACATGAACATCACCAATCTTAAATACCGCCAACGTCGACGTCTTTTCAAACTCGCCTCCATCATCTTCTTTTCCTGTTTGACGCTCTGGTCACTGGTTCACTACTTCTTGCGCCATGGCTCCTCCTCTGTCGTCGTTTCTTCTACATCATTATTCTCGTCACTACTTTTTTCTTCTTCCGTCTCGAGTAGCAGCAAAGAAGGCGGCAACTTTGATCCTTCAGAAAGAGAAGAAGAAGGAGACTACGAAGCCATTACGTCTTCTCGCGCCAGAGCCTCCTCACCTCGGGGAGGAAGCGTGCGAACGCTGACTGATGAAATACTAAACAACTTGTTTCTCGATGCCGAGACTTGTCGGGCTACGTTTCCGGGACTAATGAAGGAGATTGATGATGCGGTAGCGAAAGGGCCGTTCAAGGTCAAGAGGAGCAGTGATTTGGGGCCGATGCAGGTGCGGATAAAGGATGGGAAGATTTATGTGTTGCATGCGCAACGGAAAAGGGATCTGAGTAGGGAGATGGTTAACGTATGTTTTTTTCTACTTTGCTTAACTTGTTTAGTATCAACTGACTGGCTGACTGACTGGCTGACACGAACATAAAAAACAAAAAGTCAAGAACAGCAGCCCTCCATCAACTTCATCGCGCCCTGCTCACCTTGCCCCCCTCCGATCGATCTCTTGTCTTAGACTTGGACACAATCCTGACCATCAACATCCTCGACACCCCCTTCGGCACTGCACTGCAATACACCCGCAACGCCGACCCTGTACACGCCCCTTCGGATCCCGATGCTCGCACTTTTCTCATTCCTCACTTCTCCTTCTGGGCATGGGACCTCCCCTTCATCGGGTCCATCTCTCGCGCAGCATCAGCCATCACGCACCTCGAAACCACCCAATTCCAGGGAAACCGCTGGCACTCACACAAAGATGCCCGCGCGGTCTGGCGGGGGACTACATGGTTCAACTCGATCCACAACCCACAGCTGCGGTACAAGCTTGTTTCCATCGCCAAGGGCAAGCCGTGGGCGGACGTGCAATCACTCGAGTGGACGACGACGACGACGACGACGGCGGCGGGCAATGGCGAGAACCAAAATGCCACCAACTCGCTAGCCATCGAGGACTTTTGCAAGTACAAATACGTGCTCCACACCGAAGGCATTTCCTACTCGGGAAGGTTCCAGTTCCTCCAGATGTGTGCCTCGGTAACGCTCACGCCGCCGATCCAGTGGATGCAGCATACCACGCACCTTGTCAAACCTTTGTTCTCAAGCGATCTGGACTTGGACAAGGCTCGGTCGTTGCGGATGAGAAAGAATGGCAAGACAAAAGACACCAGGGCCAAGCCGGGAAAGACTGCAAAAGATGGGATCTGGACGCCGCACGCGAGACATGAAAGGGCGTGGCCAAAGAGGTATGATGCTAATGAGGCGAATATCGTGTTCGTGAGCCCCGATTGGTCGGATTTGGAGGATACGATACACTGGTTGGAGGAGCACCCCAAGGTTGCTGAGGGTATCGCGAGGAGGCAGAGGAAGTTGTTTGTGGGTGGCGGGTACTTTAGTCCGGCGGCGGAGGCGTGTTACTGGAGAGAGCTGGTGAGAGGGTGGGCGAAGATGGCGAGGCCGGAGAAGGGTGAGTTTGAGGAGTTGGGGATGCCGTATGAGGAGTTTGTGTTGAGTAATGGGTGGGATTGAGACCGGTTGGGTCGGTGGGCGTTATGTCTGATTTGTTTGATATGGGTATGGGCATCGGTTTGGAGAGCTTCCTTTATAACGATCTTCTTGTTGATGTAGCTATATCAAGTATGCTGGCTGTTTCGATATCGTTCGTAAAGTTTGCCTGATTAGCTGTTCAGCCGTAGTTGCATGCTCACAGCTAGAGCACCACCACGCCCATAGGTTCACTCGGTGTTCTATGCCACCGAAGCGAGAAAAACAACCCGCTTTCCTGTAAACATGATCCCTCCAAACTCCCAAAACGCCAACTTACCGCTCTCGCCCATGGATCCGAATGCTTAACCAAAGAGGTGCCGTTTCAGAACTCCCCGGTCATAGTAGCCCAATCAAAGAGCCGTCGCGCCCGGTCTCCAGTTCTCGCCTATCCTCCTCATATCCTCCGCGAACTTTTTGCTCGTGATTTTCTTTCCGCCTGTCCCCGAAAGCGGCGAATGCTCGTCTGGATCAAAAAAGGGGTTCTGTAACAGCTTGATATACGCCGTCTGCATCGCCTTGAAGACCTGTTCCCTGTGTTAGCATATGTGTCCGTCCTTCTTTCTTCATTTCTTTCCCCTTATCCCACACTATCAAGAACCCCGCCTCTTTCGCCATATCTTCTTGCTTCCACCCTCCATCCGGGAATAGTCGATGGAACGAAGTACTCACAACTTTCATCTCCCCCTCCCTCAACCCAACACTACTAGCCGCAGCCGCCGCCCCTCCCTGCGTCAACCCTCCTGGTTGTCCGCCTCCTCCATGCCCACCAGCGCCTCCTCCCCCGCCTCTTCCATCAACTCTCCGTCCCCTCATGTCTACGACCGCAACAAATTTGGTGCCCGTATTCGTCTCGAACCCGTACGCGGCCAAGCGGTCGTCCACCGCATGCAACAGACCAAAGTCACCGGACAAGCCCACTCCCGCCGCGGCGTTGCGACGGGCGCGCAGGTCAAAGACGTCCAGGGTCGAGGAGAGCAGGAGGTGGAATTGGAGGGAGGTGCGGGCGGCAACGTAGGTGTTGGTGGAGGGGTCGTAGGATGGGAAGATTTGGATGTGGAGGGGGTTGTTCTGTTTCGGTGAGAGAAGAGGGGGGGTTAGTAAGGCGGTGATAGACATAGCTGGGTGAAATACTGGTGAAGAAGGGAAGAGAAGAGAAAGGAAGAGGAGAGGAGGGTTTGGAAGGGAGGGGCGGGGAGCTTATACGTTACGGCCTATTACGCCCAAACAGGCTATTGAGGGGATCAGGGTCGCCATTCTTCAAGGAGGTGGGTGGTCTTGGTCGAGGTTGTTTGGTTCTTATTATCGCCGTACACCAAGGTCGTGATGTGGTGCTTCCGAGTTCGATATATGAGTGTGCAGATCAACTTGAGTGATGCCGGACTGTTTAGAAGTTGTTCAGTTGAACTGGACCTGGATGACAGAACGCGGGCCGCCGTGGTGACGCGGGATGGAAGCCGATCCATGGAGGTGCAGCAAGTTGAAGTGGGTCTGGGGTAGGTGGCTTGGTGAGCTTGGGTACATTGTTTAGTGGCCTGTGAGACCCCTATTTCCAGCGGCTAGTGTATTCTACAGTGGGTGTGAATGATCATTGAAGGTTGTTGACGCCCCTTTCGACCTCACATGATGATTTCGGACGTAACTCACGTAAAGTATGCGAGAACCTTTTATTTTCCCTTGGTGATTCGTTGGCTATGACGACAGATACAATATACAGCTTCCAGTGTCTGCCCAAAGAAACGGTAAACCCATCCACAACGCCGGGCGCAGTGCCCCTCTCCCGCTGGCCAAACACTCCTTTTTAACTTCCCCTGTATCCAATCCAATCCAATCCAATCCAATCCAACGCTACGCCGATGCTTGTTGATAAAGGGTGACGATGAATTTCCCAGATTCTTTCCAAAATAACAGCCCTTTTTCCAAAGATGCCCAATACTGATTACCTCCTCAGTCCCACCTATCCCATGCATCCTGCCACTCGTCATCCTCATAAAAGTCCGTCTCTTCCAAACCCCTAAGCACCTCCTCAATCTCCTTCGGATCGGTGATAGCCCAGACACCGGCGCCCTTGATAACATCCTTCCCGCGCATGCCCACCTCCTTGCCCACCAGGTTCCGGCCCACATACCCTGGCCCGATACCGACCCATCTCCTGACCTTCATGGACTGATCCAGATACTTGATGCTGTCCCACCACTGTACCGTCTCGACCGCCTGCCGAGCCAAAAGGTCCTTGAGCTGCTCCCTACTTTCAAACGGCCTGGCCGTCACGTTGCTAATGCACGTAACCTTGCCGGGAAACGTGATAATGTCCTCATTTTCCCTCCCCTTGACCATGCTGTTTCCCGCCATCATCTGCTGCAGCACCCCGACGGCCGGCTTCATGATGGGACTGTGAAACGGACTGTCGCTCTTGAGCCTGACCGCGCGTGGGTCGTGTCCCAGGAACTGCCGCACGTGTTCCACCAGTGTCTTGATGCGCTCAATGCTTCCGCTGAGCACGATTTGCGTCTTGCTGTTGACGTTCGCAATGAGCACTTGGTCGATTGGGCACCATTCGTCGGCGCTCTCCACTTTCGAGCCGGCGCTGTCGTAGCCGACGAACTCGTGGATTGCGGCGATCAAGGGTGGCAGGTGCTCGGCCTTGCTGCTGACGAGTGCCACCATGCCGTACTCTCCGCCATACATCTCCTCGGCCTGCCGCGTCGCATTGGACATGGCTTCCGCTCGCTTTTGCACCATACGCAGACTATCTTCGAAATGGATGTAGCCGCCTGCGACAAGCGCAGCGAATTCGCCAAGAGAGTGACCGAGAGTAAAATGGGCATTGTCTTCGACTTTAAAGTTGAAATGCTTTTCGAGAATACGGATGATCATTATCGAGGTAGCCATGATGGCTGGTTGTGCGTTGGGCGACAGGTTGAGGTCCTTGCCGGGCCCATTCTGTATCACGTCCGAGAGCTTATGGCCCACTATCGAGTCAATTTCGTCGATGATTTCCGAAGTTGTCGCGGGAAAGGCTTCTAGCCAGGGGGTGAGCATGCCGACTCTTTGGACGCCTTGGCCTGTATATCTCATGGCTGTCAGCGTCGTTCTCCGTAACTTGGGCATGTCAAAGCAGGATAGCCCATTACTACTACTACGAACCTGGAAAGAAGATGGCCGTCTTTGGCCGCGTGTCTGGTACCGGAAGATGTGTCGCATGTCCTCTACGCTGCCGTACCGCTACCGAGCGCGGTAATGGTGATATCCTGAGGGGTATTTTTGTGGTGACATTGTTGCATGTGAAAGGAGGAAGCGCAAGCGCAGGCCGACGAAGGGGCCCTCGCAAAGGCATATCGGTGTATATGGACCTGGAAACCTCGATTGGTGCCCGTCCCAGGCCGTCCGTCCGTTCGGTCCGTCCGATCTACCGCGTGTGTAGTAAATCGGTTTCGGGATCTTGGTCTGGTTTCACTGATAGTCTTGGGTTGATCCACCGCTATGGTTCCCGATATGTAGTCGATGTCCGATCGGCGCCAATTCGAGTAGCACACGGCTATGTCGTAGTCTGGTGGAATCCGACGTCGTGGTAGATGACGTGAATCTCGAATTCAAACAACTGAGTCAGGTATGTTTGACGGCGTAAACCCGCAACAAGTAAACAATGGGAGCAAATCAAAGAGCAGGACGGGACTACAACTAGTGGAAGAACACGGGATGATCGGCTTTCAACGCTAAGTAGCAACAGTAAGGGACTCCCGGGCAAGTAAGTAGGGACGGCTGTATCCTGCAAGTGGAAGCTCGAGAGTGCTGTGTAAGCAGGTACGGACACTGAATCGCGGTAGGGGCTTACGCGGGCGGTCGGGTCGGTCATCAATGGAAATCTCGCTCTCAACAAACCGCCCTGGAAATCGACAGCCGCGGCCGGGAGTGGATCACGCCAGCCAGCGCCCGGGTGGCCCGTTGTCCCGGGGTCTCGGCTTTGTGGAGAAGACGGGTGGGGTAGTTCCGCCGCATCCAATCTGGATGGCACCCGACCTCATTGTCACTGGGGCAGGCATTTCACATTCAACGATGGAACCCGTCATTGCTGCTGCAGTAGTGTACCTACCGAAGGACCTGACGTGTGACGTCGCCGGGGCTGCCACTGGTACGGCTACACTACTTTTGGCTTTTGCAGTAGAGGTAAGTAGGTTTGAGGAGGAAAAGGTCCCAGATCCCGTCCACTTAGTGTAGGTAGTTAAGGTAGTGTAGTTGCTGGATGAAACTAAAGGACGCGGAAGAGGTAGAGGTACCTGCTCCAGTACCTACGTCTTGTGTGGTACCTGCACTGCATATGCCTCTATTTGGTGCCCGTGCACGACGACAGCCCGGCACAACGAAGGCCCCACCAACTATGTAAAGTACAATCGTCAATACCGTATCGATAGTTTCATTATCAGAATTTCAATACGCAAACATTTGGACGTCAACTCATCAACTCCAGACTGAAGCAACTGAAAGGCCCATACAACATACTTTGAGGCCGCAAGGCGAATCGACACAAACAACCAACTTCTGCAGGCCAGGATAGTCAGATAGTAGAACTTGAGATTCGAAAAGGTCGACAACGGAACCAGGAAGGAAGGATTTGGACCTTCATCACACCAACAAACACTCAACGTTGATATCGCCATTTCACACCAACCACAACCACACAACATGCCCATCACAATCCTCCCACCTAAAGCCTTCCGGGACCAACCACCCCGCCACAGCCTCAACCATGACTCCGACGACGTAATGTCCGACGCCACCTCCGACTCTGAAGACTCCGACTCCCAACCAGGCGGCGTCTCCCTCGACGGCGGGGCGACCATTCACCCTCGTAAGCGTCATCGCTCCGGCGCCGGCGCAGCCGCCTCCTCCACCTTCACCAAGCGTCCCAAGACCAACGCTGCCATCAACTCCATCCCGCGCTCCGCCATCGTCACTCCCGGCGAGCGCATCACCACGGACCCCCAATGGATGCGCGGCCACGGCACCTACCTCTCCTCGGCCTCTTTGGGTGAACAAGCCATCACCTCCTCGCTGGCCGGAATCGTGACGCGCACCAATAAGCTTCTTTCCGTCCGCCCTCTGCGCGCCCGCTACACGCCCGAGGTCGGCGACTTGGTAGTCGGCCGCATCGTCGAAGTTCAGGCAAAACGGTGGCGGGTCGACGTCGGGTCCACGCAGCTCGCTGCTTTGCCTCTTTCCGCCATCAACCTTCCCGGTGGCATTCTCCGCAAAAGAACGGAGACGGACGAGTTGCAGATCCGCACTTTCTTTGCCGAGGGGGACCTGGTGGTGGCCGAGGTGCAGCAGCTCTTCCAAGATGGTGGTGCGGTGCTGCACACGCGCTCGCTCAAGTACGGCAAGCTGAGGAACGGGGTTTTCATGGCTGTTTCTGGCACGGGCGGTGGTGGAGGCGTGGTCAGGTCGCGCAGACAGGTGTGGACGCTCGAGAGTGCGAATAATGGCGGTCCGATTGATGTGATTTTGGGCGTCAATGGCTATGTCTGGATCTCAAAGCATGTGGAGCCTGTGGTTCCCGAGGAGGCGAAGGGCCAGACGGGCATTACGAACCTTGAAGAGGTGGTTAGTGCTACCATGTACTCGAGCCAGAATGATAGGATCGAGCCCGAGACAATGAGGGAAATTGCGAGGATCAGGGGCGTGGTGACGGCGCTGGTGGAGAATGGATTGAGGGTGGATGAGGATATGGTTACAAAGGGGTATAATGAGGCCGTGGAGCTGGCGTTGGTGAGCGCGGATGGGCCCGAGGATGTGTATCTGGGTGGTGAGAGGGGAGAGCAGCTCGCTGCTGCTTTGACGGCTGTCTAGGTCTAGTTCTAGCTGGGTCTAGGGGTTTACGTAGTAATGTGTTCGGGAAACCAAGAAGAAACAAATTGCTTCCCCATTCGATGTGGTCGCCAATTAGCTTCGAGCCGTTGAAGAGCTTCCATTTATGCATAACACGACGCTGGTGATGGCTTGTGAACCCTTAAATCAATCTTGATCCTGAAGTATGGTGGTATCCGTAAAAGTATATCATATAATAGCTTAAAAGGTCTGCATGGACCACTCGTAAGAGTACATGTATTCATCTTCTGAATATCTACATGAAACCCAACATCCAACCGTCACCCCCATCACCTCTTCCCCTCCTTCATCTCCCTAACCCTAAATCTCTCCAACCCCACCGGCTCCTCCAGTACCGTCGACTCCCCCATGACAATCTCCGTTTTCTCCTTCGGCCCCGCATTCAACCTCACCAACGGTGATTCCAACGGCTTGCTAACCTCCTTCCCCTCCCAATGCCTCGCCTCCTTGGGCAGCGGCTGCCACCAGCCCTCATCGGTCCTAGCATGCCACTGCCTGCTGCACAGCTCCCACAACCGGCTCGTCGCTCTTTTGTACGCAAACCGCTCGTCCTGGCCCGTGAACGCCGAAACGGTCTGGTTGAAGTCCACCTTGCGCGTCAGTGACACTTGCTGCTCCTTGCCGAAATCCGAATCCTGGTCCGGATCATACTCGGAAATGTTTGGACGAAAAGGTGCGATCGAGTCTTGGAAGACTTCAGCAATGGTTTCGGAGTAGGTTGCGTCTCCTTCTACTACTGCTGCTACCTGCTCGGTTCCATTGCCCGTGCTTTGTGTTGTTGTTGATGATGTGGTGACTGGTTTGACTGGACGCATCTCGGGGAAGAAGAGATCATCAGGCCCGACCTCGGCGCGGATGAGGAGCTTGCACTTGGACTCGTACAAGGCGTCGAGGAGGGTGATGAAGCGGCGGGCTTCGTTCTTCATGGCCAGAGAGAGCACGGGGATCTTGTCGATGATGAAGGTGTGGAAAGTTGAGGCCATGGTGAGGTAGTCAGCTGGGCCGTGAGAGGAGACCAGCTCGGAAAAGTCCCAGTAGGTGACATCGTTGTAGTAGCGCGGAATGTGCACCTTGCGACCGTAGACAATGAGGTTGGTTGGGGACCACTGTTGGCCGGTGGCATTTGAGCCGATGACTTGGTTGATGGCGGCTGTCCAGCTTTCTTCGGAGTCAGAGGGGAGGAAGTACATGGATGGTTTTTGAAGACCCTGCTCGATCATGGTCGCCTCTGAAGTAGTTGTTGTTGATGGCTGTGTGGATGATGATGATGATGATGATGGCCCAAAGGCGGGTTGAAAGGAGGCCGTCGCCCCTGAATCCGTCACCTTGTTCACCGCGCCTGTACCTGTTTCGCCAGTCTGGCTCTCCCGTCTCCTCCAGTCTCGGGTACCTTCCATGTGCCAAAAGTCGCATCGTGCCTTGAGAACCTCCAAGAACGCAGCAAAGTCACTGGTCTGGCCAAACATTTCTCCCTGGCGCTTTCCAAAGCCAAAGACCTGCTTGATCAAACCACCGGTTGTGGGCGGGTGGTAATACCCGCCTGTAGCCCTTTCCAACTCCTCGGGCATCCGGTTGGAAGACGCCATGAGGACACCTCCCAGCTGAAAGAAGGCGATAAACAGGTTGTTCATGATTTTGCTCGCTGCCCTGTCGGGAAGCTGGAACTCGTCGAGGAAAAGAATGGGAGACTTCTCCACCATCTCTTTTGCCAACCACAGGAGGGAATACTCCTGGTCACCCATAGCCAACTGCGAATGCGACTTGCGGAACTGCTCCAGTCTGGAGAGGGCGTACAGCATAAAGGTGTTGAAGTGCCATCTTTTCTTTCGGTGAGTGGGTAAGCCCTCAGCTAGGAGATCCAGCAGCATGGACTTGCCGGTGCCGACTTCGCCGGACAGGAAAAGGCCCTTGGGAGAGTCAATGTGCAGAGCAGCCTCATGGCTTGTAAGAACTCTTGTCAATGCCAAAGTGTCTCTGTCGTCTGATTTGCGAAAGAACTTGGCAAAGAGAGGGTTCCCCCTAATGGGATGGCCGCGGACGGCCAGCTGGGTCTCTTCGGCCTCAACATTCTCCTTCCTTGCCGAGTCCAAGGCCTTTGTGATCTGCTGGAGTCTTGACTGGTACTCTTGAGAAGGAGTGTAGTCCTTCAACCGCAGATAGAGCTTTTGCAGGTGATGGGCCAGACGGTGTTGGGCGATATCGGGACTACAGACATTGCTGGCGATGAGGGCATTGTACTTGACCAGTGGGTCAGTGATGGTGACCGAGGTCGCTATGCGGCGACTCATGGTGGTCAGGTTGGTAGACAGAGTCAGGACTATGAGGAAGGCATCAATGCTTTGAGATGCTCCCTACTCTCGAGTGCTGGTAGTGAGTGTATGTACACTAGTAGATGATCTGTAGCTATGAAGTCGAGATCCGATACAGAGAAGCCGAAGATCCAGATGTCCGAATGCCTGTTAAGGTTAACAGTGGATACAGGGGACACCAGCTTAACAGCCCCAATGATGTCACTCAAACAGTGCCAATGTCATTAACAGATATCAACTGAGTCCAGCTTCTCGAGAGCTCTCTATGGGTGTTCACTTATACCTGAAGCTACCACTTGATTGTCTGATGACTCGAAGATGGAGAGTTCACGGTGAAGAGACAAGTAAATGGGAAGGGAACCGACCTCACAAAGGGCTAAAGTGCGAGAAACATGTCCACGAACCTGGTCACCAAACACATGTTAGTGTTAGGGTTTGTTAAAGGCACTGCAGTTTTGACAGGCGAAGGACCTTCGGGAGCTGCCCGGTCTGAGGACCAGGAAGGACAAAGCGGAAGGGAAAGCAAAAGAAAGGTACGTACCTCCTGGCAGCCAGCACCTCGTGGTCGTGTGTGGAGATCTCCACCGACGGCTGCCGTGTGAAGCACTGACCAACAAAGCAAAGCAAAGCAACACGCCAAGACTGACCACTCAGTGACCACGATGGGCCAGCACAAGCACCTGGGCTGTGATTTTTTGTTGCCCCAAAAAAGTCAACAAGGATCCAATGATTGAAGACTTGTGAGGAAGGGAACGAATGCATAGCTTTCTCTCTCTCTAGTCTTGTCTTGTCTTCCATGTTGCCGGCCTTTCCTCATTCACTTGACATCTACGTCTAGACAGTAGCGACATACTCACAGCCTCTGCCCAATTGCGACCTTTTCTATTCCAACGACTTGGGTATTCCTAATCGATAACGGCGCATCCTCCATCATCATCATCCTTTCTCGTCGCCGCCGTGATTCCGTCACAAATCCAACATTCCAGATATTCATCACCTCCCTTTGTGGTATCTAGGTGCACCGCGCCTTGCCATGGTCGTTATCGTTTGACCGAGATTCGAATCGAAGGGAGCGCGCGTGCGGCGCGTTATTGTTCACGTCACCCGTCCACGGTCACCGATCGAACCCATCGACTCTTCCAGCATCTCGCCATTGCTACTATTCTTCGCTTTGGCGATTTCTAGCTAGCCGTCCCCATTCTTCTACCACTACCACCACCACCACCACCACCACCACCACAACAACAACAACAACAACAACAACAACAACAGCAACAACAACCACCACCACCACCACCACCATCACCACCGCGACTCACGGCCACGTACCAGCACCGACGTCAACATGTTTGAGCCGACCCAACAAGACCAAGGCGGCCCCGCAAAGGGGACACGAAGCAGCCGCCGCAGAGCGCGTCCGTCAAACACAGATGCCACAGTCCAGGCCCCCAAGGCAAAGCGACAAAGGGTGCCGCTACACGAAACCACGGTTGCGAATACCGAAGCCCACCCAGAGACGGATACGGACATGTACGAAGCCAAGTCCGACAAGCTTGCCTTGCTCGACATCAAGCGCGACGGCATTGAAAACCTCGGTGGCCCCCGCAAAGAGCTCAGCGTGCGATCAAAGAAGCAAAAGGCCGGCGAACGGACTGCAAAGGGTGATGGAAGCATAGTATTGGTATGTGGATGCTTCCTTTACCGTCTTTGTCTCGCCGTTACTTGCGCATTGGGGAGCTCATCCAGAGTCACAACCAGCTCCTGGAAGCTTAGCTACTGACCACAATCCCAGACCACAAACAATGCCTATACCGTGAGCAAGCTCCCAGCTTTACCCGACCGACTCCGAGCGGATGCGCAAAGTAAGCTCGACCAGCACAGCTACCTCCCAACCGCCCTTCCACCTTTGGAGCAACTTTCAATAGAATCTGGAGTGCCTAACAAGTCCCAAGATCGTCAGCACGGTGCCGTCTACTCGACCAGCGGATACGCCTTGAGCCTTACCCATACCCATGCCTTCGTCTGGCCCTATGCTTCTACCGCCGCCTCGCCTGAGACCTTCACATTCGGCCTTCCTTATCCCTCCAAGAATCCGACCGACCCGCTACCACTTGGCTCGTTGGTCTCGCCCTCGGCTGCCTCCGACGAACCTGGCCTTGTCGTAGTCATGCCCATGAGCGGCAAGATCGCATACTGGGAATCCATCTCGAGCGCCGCCACCCTTGACTTTATTCGCCAACAACGACATGGAGTGGAGGACACAATACCCGGCATGTTTTCTGGAGAGCATGTCGTTCAGATCGTCAACGCCGAATCCGCCGGTTTTGTCCTCGTTTTCAGCTCTGGCCGTCTCGCTTACTTGAGCGTCCGCGACATGCATGGCCGGCCCGCCATTTCTGTACAATTCCTCCGGAGCAGCCTCACCAATGCCGTAGGTGGACTGCTGGGAAGCATCCGCCAGGTCCTTGGCTCCACTTCTGCGCATGGGGATGTCGTTGCCGTCCGCGCCAGCCATGCCACAAGAGTCGGAGAGCGAGTCATTGTTGGAGCTACGACTAAGGGCAAGCTTAATGTTTGGCGCGTTCACAGGGGCGGCCACCACGATATTTTGTCCGATATCGACTTGAGGAGCGACCTTATTCACCAAATACAGGAGGCCGACCCAGCATCCGCCGGTTTACCCGAAGAGTCTTTCGAAATTGTCGATTTCACCTGCGTTCCTCGAGGACTTGACAACAAGTATGTGGAGGCTAGCCGGCTTAGCGAGGCTTTGGTTCATGACGAAGATTCTGTCCAGCATCTGCTACTACTCACTTCCTTCTCTTCCAGCAAAAGCCAGACTCACTATGCCTTGGTTGAGGTTGTCATTTCTGGCCAGAACAAGAAGGTTGGTGCAGTCCGACCCTTGACTTCTTACACCAGTCCTGTGAGACCCAATGCGCCCGAGAGACCCAAGCTCTACCTACCACGCCCTGCAATGGTAGCTTTTGTTGTCTTCGACCGCGCCGTTGTGATTGCATCCATGGCCGCCCCGCCGGATTCCCCCGAGTCACAGCTCCAGGAAGACAGCCACATCATACCCGCCACATTCGAAGACGTGGTAGACCTCCGAGATGAAGGCAATGTGCAAATAGTAGGCTCAGGCACGGAGGAGCCTACTACTAATGGCCATTTTCCAGATGAGCTTCGATCGCGACACAGGACAAAAAACCCCGCTGCTGTGTTGTTGGTGCAGGGTGTTGGCACAGTTAGAGTTGCCGTTAGCGAGGTTGATCGGTTCGCGACCGAAAAGCCGCCAACCATAAGCGCGAAGAGCAAGCTCGAACAGGCCGTCTTCTTTGGTATCAAGAATGACAACCCGTTGGTGTTCCAAGGAAGGAGCCTGCCTTTCACCGCTCAGGAAATCGGAAATGCGGCCATTGAGCTCAGTCATGAAATTGTAGCCTCCAAGACCCCGTTCATCCCCAACGTGCCCGCCTCGCTCGAAAATAACATGAGGACCAGGGTGGAATATCTTGAAAGGTTGATATTCTACCTCAATACCTTGAGGGTGGATCTGGACGCTCGTACACGGTGGGTGCTGCTCTACGACTCTGAAAAGATGGCCGTAGCAACGTGGCTTTGGCGGAAGAATGAGCAGTTTATCGCCGAACGGCCAAAGGGGGATAAACAAAACGTCATTTCCGAGACGGTGATCTACATCAACGAGAACCAAAAGACGGAGCCTAATCCGGCTGTCGGCGAGGTAGACCCCGTTCGCCACTGGTTCATTAACGATGTGTGGAGACTAGAGATCTTTATCGCTTGGGCATACCAGATTATCAAGTACGCCTATACTGAACGCCTCACCGACGAAAACGGCATCAACCGTCTGATCTTGGAAGCCGCCATCGTCAACAAGGGCGCCCTTCAGGAGGCGGAGCAGCACCGCTTGAAAAATGCACGCCTGTACGGTGTCAATCCTAGGAAAGGCGCCGAAGGCAACGCGATCCCCGAGCCCTGGACTGCCACTAGTTTCATCGCTAGCAATCTCAAGCGCCTGATTGAGTTTTGCTACGAATGGCTGGATAACTTCTACTTCCCTTCTCCGGAAAAGGCTTCTGTGGATGTGAAAATTCTCAAAAGCATTCGGGACATGCTTCCTGCTCTCACCAGCCGATACTTCACCGCTCTTGACGAGTATATTTCGTGGGCTGAGAAGTCTAGCGATTCTGACACGCGAGAATCCGGCAAGAGATGTCTTCAGGAATACGTCGAAAATGTTTATGAGAAGATCTTACGACTTAAGGACTACGATCTTTGGGATGAAGCGATTGCTTTGGCGCAGGAGCATGAGGCATATGCCGCCCTGGCAGATGTCATGGTGCAGCACATTCTCACTCTAGAGGAGAGTGCCCTGTCCCCCGGCACTTCTGCGACCAAAGCCGAGGAGTGTCGTGCCAAGGCTGAAGACCGGAAGAGGCAGATGGGCGGTTTTTTCAACCAGTATCAGGAGAGGTTCGCCTTCCCGGCGTACGAGGCTCTCCTTGACGCTAGTGGCGTGCAAGCAGTCCTCGAGTTCCCCTACGACAATGAGGGCTACGCCACTAAATTCCTCCGGTCCAGGCCCGGGTTAGCCAAGATCTCTTGGATCAATGATGTTGAAAGGGAGAAGGACATTGATCGTGCTGCCGAGACACTGCTTACTCTCGGTCTAAGAGAGCAGCATGTGTGGAGCAAGAAGATTGAGCTCAGTCTTGGAAAGCTTGCTTTGCTGGCTGACGAGACTGAACAACGTAACGGAGACAGTGAAATGAGCAACGGCTTTTCTGATAGCAAGGAGGCCAAGCTTGAGAAGGTTGACCAGGCTTTGGAAATCATCACGATCCAGAATGGCCTGTACAGCCAGATACGGCCCACCATTGAAGAAGCCGTCGACGAAAGAGCCGAGTTTGAGCTGGCAATGAAATTTCACGGCGCCTGGATCAATGGCCAGAGGA